CATCGATAGGATGAGCAGCGCACTGGCCAACAGGTAAGTCTCCAACCCCGAGGCTGGCCTCACACTACTTCCATCGATAGGTTGAGCAAAATCGAATGAATCTACCTGCAATCAGACCCGTCTTCTTCCTTATTTCCCATGCATGCAAACAGGTGGGAATCCACACTGGCGCCAGGCGCCCACACGAAGCTCAGAGATATTACGGCCGAGAACACAGATCAGATACAAACTCGCTTCAAATTGGCTATGGCGCCTGAGCGCCTACACATCACTCTTCCGACTCTGTATCCACAGTGACTGTTCACACGCACTCGACTCCGGATCCCCCTGGATGTCCCTGGATGTCCCACGCACACTCACTCTGTATCACACTCGCTACTAACTACCGCTAGCTATGGCAGCTATGGCCGCCGTCTACCACTAACTGCAAGCGGAGATGGCCGCTCTATCACACTCGCTACTAACTACCGCTAGCTATGGCAGCTATGGCCGCTGTCTACCACTAACTACAAGCAGCGATGGCCGCTCTATCTTCCTCGCAGCCCACTTCGACTTCGGGCATCTGCAGACCACCTCGCACAAGACACTCGGGCAGTGCTTCCATATGGCTCACACAGCATGAATCAATGGCTGGACGCTGCCTCTTGATTTATACTTCTGTTGGTCGCTGGTCTGCCCCTTTCCACAGGGCCCATGGTGCACACAGTCCCACGTGGTATTTGCTGACTAGACAAAGTAAGACTGGGACTGGGCACCGATGACTAAGCAAAGTTGGACTACCCACTTTCCCATTTGCCTCTGGTCTAACATGAGCAATGCTTCGAAAGGCCACTTCTGGACCTTCCGGAAGTCTGTGGACTTGGCCTTTCGGAACTGTAGCAGCTACGACCCTGACCTTTCAGACTTGTAGCAGCTACGACCTTGACCTTTCAGAATTGCAACAACTATGACCCCTACACAGCTGCGACCCCTGCTCCACAGACCTACAGATCGAAACTCGACAACTACTTAGACCTACGACAGACAGCAGTCAACTACCAAGACACAGGTCTCGCCTTCAAACACACAGGGTCGACTTGATACTGTACACGGGTGAGTACAGGGCTAGGGATCGAGCCCTGGGATCTGCAACTGCTACTACAAAGGTGAAAACCGTTTCATACCGCTAGAACATGGAAATATACCCTGCCACATGTGTGTGTGTGTTACCCTACGTTACCCACGGCACAGAATGCCATGCACCTCGCAGCAAGCTGCAATACGACCGTTCATGCCATGGCCCGTTGGCTGCACCCGGGCTTATGTGTGTACCTCACATGGTCAAGCAACCTTCAATCATTGATTCAGCCAGTAATCCCCCTTTCTTCCCAATATGCAGACAAATAATCAAGGATTGTTCCCCTCATACGGCCAAATTCAGGACAAGCTCCACGATGCCAAGAATGACCGAGTAGAATAGGAAATTTAATAGACAGTTCACTACCCATCTGAAAAGGTGCAGAGAATGGGTGGGACTTGCCCGGACATTAAATGTCTCATGCTTGATCAGGTTGATTTCATGGCTGAGGGCTAGGTTGGCTCGCATCAGCTGGTGTGTAGTATCAAGTTCATGCATCTCGTGGTGATGTATGGTTTCCTTAAATCTTCGTATAAGGGCACGGTGCCCTTCATAGATCTCAGAAAAAATCGATGCTGCCCAACATCTCACATCTCGGGCGTCATCTTCAGTGGGTGCCTCGTAGTAGAAATCAGGACTGATGGCTGGAGGATCCCCTCTCTTGATTAGCATGTCAATGAGGAAGGACATGCGTTTCTCAACTGCCAAGATCCTGCTCCGGAGTTCCTCTACATCAAGAGGAGGCACTGCCATGTCCAGAGGGGGGAGTGTAAAGACCCGTTATTAGTCGAGAGGGGGGGAAGGAAAAGGGATTCAGAGCAAGTGCTGCCTGTCTCTCAGCAAACAATTAGGAGCCAGGATCCGTCGAAATGATCACAGGGGGAAGAAAGAGAAAGAGGGATGGCGGTCGCTACAATTGAAGGATATATGACGAATAATTGTAGCGGGATCCTGGGAGTGGTTGGTCAACTGATGATAATAACGGGGAGTGTCAGCATAGGGTGGGATCAAAAAAGTAATCCGTCCGATCAGAGCCCCTCTA